TGTCTGGGGAGAAGGGGGTGGGCAGGTAGGGGTGCACTGTTGACCCCACTTGCTCTGGATCCTTGGTACCCACAAAAATGGGACAAAGGGAGACAGGATGATGAAAATATTATTTACAAAATAAGCAAAATGTTGATTTTATGCCTGTAACTTGCATGCAAAAAAACATACATAATGGATTTGTTTAATTTTTTTTTTAAATCACATGACTTTTCACTGAGGTTTATGCATATTTGTAAGACTATTGCCTGTGGTACAGTATTTCATGTGCATTCTGCGGGTATAAAGACTGCAATAAATGTGCGGTGTACACAAAGAATAGGCTCATGTTTCATTCAACTGTCCCCATGTTAGCCAGGACCATTGTTTGATACAACCCAGCCACACCCAAGTGTGGTTCCTCTCCCAAGTGTTCCTAAGAGTGCCCCGAGTCTTTCACAATCCTAGCAATGCCCCTCTCTTGAGTCAATAGCTTGTGCTTCTGGCGCAGGTGAAGGGAGTAGAAGGAAGAGCTTAAGGCTTGAGGAGAGGAAGGAGCTTCAAGTAAGTAAAACTACTGAATGATAATGCTGGTAATTAGTATTGTGCAGTTCTGGGGGTTATTTTTGTGCTGGAGGTTGATGGTTGTCCTGTCACTTGCTGGGGGTTATCATTGCTGGACCTAGCATTTTCTGGGGGATGCCATTGCTAACAGATGCAGGGGACTAATGCTGGGGGTTGTCATAGCTGGATCAGATACTTTCGAGGGGTTATTGCTCTCACTGACTCATGCTGCAGGTTATAATTTCTAGCACTTACAGTACAACAATGGGGCTCCCACAATCTCTTCAGTGGTCCACCTAGGCCCTATTTTATTCAAACCAAATTAAACCAAAGGGAAAGGGTGACATGCTACAAGCCATACACCATAAAGCAACACCCACTGCATTGAAGTAAGTTAGTCTGAAAATTTGATAGTTCCTCCCAGCTCACTTGGGTAGAGATATCTCAGAGGTTGGGTCTGATGTAAAATACTGATCCTGTTGGACATTTGAGAATTGTTTGAAGTTACCTGTGTTACAATACTTTGGTGAACCTTCTACAGCATTTAATTTTTATTTCATGCTCATCTATTGGTATCTTTTTGTTGTGCTTGCACACTTATTATTCTGACCAATATAATCAGAATACTTGTTTACCCTAAACTGTGTGTGTTTATTTATGGTTCCAAGCCAGAGGATCCTCCTGGTCAAAAGTTTGCGGTGGTGTCAGCGGGGGTTGAGCAGGCTCAGGACAGACAGGGAAACCAAAAATACTTAGCGGCTCTTGAGGGGTTAGCACTACAATGACATTGCATCTTTCATTTAAGACTGATCATTTAGGGTTGAAATTTTAGCTTCACTACTTACACTTCCCAGCACCAGAACAACACCCCAAAAAAAATACCATCTGGAGCAGCCCCAGGCCTTGCAGATGCTTAAATATTCTTGGCGAGACATGAAACATGGTAACAGATATAGCAGATACACAAACACAGTTTGCACAGTATATTAGTTATGCCAGCTCCCTGCTTTCCCATGTAATCTACTGACATTTCCAAGAACCCAACTTGCTTTTTTTATCAGTGACCTAAATATTTAAGATTTTTCCAATACAGCTACAAACCATAGAATGTTGTTGTTCATCAAATAAGGTTTTCTTTAATGTTATACTCTATATAATTATTAGGCCATATTTGAGGAGCAACTCAGGCAGAAATCCAAAACAACTTGGATTTTACAGATTTCTCACAACTATATTTATAGATGCACGTCAATGACTTCATTTGTGAGGCAGACTGTGAAGTACATCGCTGTGCAGTGACTGACTCACATTCAGTTGTCGCAACAAGATTACACTTGTGTTCCATTCTCAAGATACATTTTAACCCTTCTGTGATGGACCCAACCGGGACATGGGCTTTTGGAGGCGACTGCAGGCTAGCCTTTTGCATACTGATTATGGCCCTGGCATCTGAGGGAGCTCTATTCTTTGGAAGGTGTGTGCCTAGGGGCGACCTATGGAGTAGGTTACTTTGGATTCAAGTCCATGTCTCCCATAAACACACAGACTGTGGGAACTAGAGGACCAGGACACAGATTTTGTGCCCAAAAAACCAGCATTGACTGCTTCAGCCCCCTTCCTAGACTCAGAGACTCTAAGAATATGTTGATATAATCATCTCAAAACAACCCGATGCTGAGAACTCTTGCTCTAATCTGATTACTATGGAGTTATGTTTTTACTGTCTTTCTACCATTGTGTGCCTTTCCATTGTTATTGAGTTAATTGAGTTAATTGAGTCACCTATTGTTTCTGTCTGTCTGTAAGTCCTCCTGGAGATGTGATTAGTATTATGTCCACTTTACCTTGTTACCAAACCATTGTGGGGTGTTTATCCTAATGTATACTATTTGTTTTTAATGTTCATGTGGGGACTGCCCTATTTCTAAGTGTATAAAACTCGGTATTTCTGTTCAATAAAATAGTTCCAGTTGCACCTGGGCTAGTGCAGTCTAGTTCTTAGGCGCAATGCCCAGCTATAATAGATTGGTCTAGTGTCCCAGCAGCAAGGAAGCAGTTCTCTGATGGAATCCCCCAATCGGGGGTGACAGACAGTCGGTCACATTTGGTGGCAAGTGGTAGGATGCTTCCTGCAGTCTGGGACATTCAAAACCACCTCCAGGACCCAGTGTTGGATGATATCGAAGAAGTGTTCCATGGAAGTGGAGTTCTAGTGGTGAACGCAAGTGAATATTGCCCAGTTTGGAGAGCCTGGTTCTGCCCAGGACGTGTTGGAATTGAGAGACGCAATCTGCCGGAAGCTCTGGATGGAAGCTCTCCAAATGAAGCAAGACTATTATGGAAAGACTCTCCCTACATCCCTGGATATGTACTGGCTGCAGTTGGACTTCCATATACCATTCCTAGGCGAATATGCTCGGGAGGAATGGCTGGAGCTGTATAGGCTGGTCCACACAGAAATGGCGCTGGACTATGGTTATCGGGCGCTGCAATGGTATGCTACCCAAGTGTGTCCAGGGCTGAAGAACAGTGATCCCATAGAAGGCTATGACTACGTCGACCCAGGATTCATATTTTGGAAGTGCAGCGGAGTGGAGATGGGAGTACATCCAAGATTTTAGGTAGTTGGAACTTCCCAGTGAGCTCGGATTGAGAAGTGACTTGGACTTTATAGTTACACAATAAGGCAGCTGAAACAAGCATATAAAAGACTGTTTGATGAAGCTCAACAGTATGCCCCAGCACCCGTGGATCTTATGGATTACAAGTTCCCACCGAAGTGCTGGCACTGGGCCCAAGTGCCGCCAGCCCGTGCCCTGGATTTTCAGCAATTCCAGAGACTAGGACTTTATTAGACTTTTCTGCTGAGGAGGAACAATCCAGTGAGCCTCCAGCAGGACAGTTGGCATCAGGGCAGAGCGCTACTGACTTCTGCCTACAACAATCGGTGGCTCTGGAAGATTTGTATGAGGTTCCTCAAGTGTCATTTTGGAAGAGCTGGCATCTGGGCAGAGCACCACTGACCTCTGTGCAGCACCAACACCACTTCCCCAGATCCAGGGAGCCAGGGTGGGCAGTCCTTCTCCCCAGCAGCAAGCTGATATAGTGCAACTCCTAACCCCAGCTGAAGGGTTTGCAGCAGGGCAGAGAACTGACAGTATCTGCCCATACATAGTCCCAGCAGAAGAGCTGGCAACAGAACAAAGGGTCCAAGACCTCTGCCCCACAGCCACAGCAGTTATGGGGACCCAGGGAGAGGAGGTGGTCATCCTCCCTTTGCAACAGTGAGCCAGAGCAGAGGAAACTTTCTTCCCTCCCCAGCAAGGTTTCATGCAGTTGGGAGACAGTACCAGAGGAATGTCATTCCAGCAGCTGGATGAGGGTACAGGAGATGGAGCAACCGGCTCATCTCCCCAGTAAAAAATCCACAGTGTGGGAGGGGAGACAGTTGTCCTTTCCCAGCAGTGGTGTAGTGACTCAGGAGTACAGGAAGTCATCTTCGCTCCACAGCGGGAGTCCAAGAGTCCAGGAGATGAAGAAACTGGCTCATCTCCCCAGTGGCAGTTCCACAGGCCGGGAGAGGAAGTGGTTGCCCTCCCTCCCAGTTCCACAGTCCGGGAGAGGAGGTGGTCATCCTCCCTCCTCTGCAACAGCTCCACAGTCTGGTAGTGGAAGTGGCCTGCTGAAGTGTATATTCCTGGAGTGTATAAATATTGGTATTTCATTTGAGCCCTGATGAAGTCACATGATTCGTGACATAACGCATAGGATGGAAGCGTGGTGACGTCATTCCAGTACGGACGGAAGCCAACATCTTGGTACTCCCAACCTCATACACTCTGTACTGTTTGATAAAGTGATTGCCTGTTTGGGTCTGCAGACCCGTTTTTCACATGTGAGTAGTTTTTTTGTTTCTTTGTAACCACTTGCCTACTGGGCACTTATACCCCGTTCCTGCACAGGCCAATTTTCAGCTTTCAGTGCTGTCACACTTTGAATGACAATTGCGCGGTTATGCAACACTGTACCCATATAAAATTGTTATAATTTTTTTGAGACAGATAGAGCTTTCTTTTGGTGGTATTTAATCACCTCTGGGTTTTTTATTTTTTGCTAAACAATCCAAAAACAACTGAAAATTGAAAAAAAAAGTTTTTTTCCTTAGTTTTTGTTTTAAAATTTTGGAAATAAGTGATTTTTTTCTCTTTCACTGATATGCGCTAATGAGGCTGCAGTGATGGGCACTGATAGGTGGCACTGATGGGCACTGGTGAGCTGGCACTGATGGGCATTGACAGGCATCACTGATGGGCACTGAAAGGCAGCACTCATATATGGCACTGATAGGCGGTACTGACTGGCACTGATAGGCGGCACTGACGGGCACTGTTAGGTGGCACTGATAGGCAGCACTGATGGGCACTGATAGGCGGCACTGATGTGCACTGATAGTCAGCACTGACTGGCACTGATAGGCTGCACTGACTGGCACTGATAGGTGGCACCGATTGGCAGCACTGATAGGTGGCACTGACTGGCATTGATAGGTGGCACTGACTGGAACTGATAGGCAGCTCAGATGAGCACTGATATGTGGCATTGATGTGCACTGGTAGGCACTGATATGTGGCATTGATGTGCACTGGCAGGTGGCACTGATGAGCACTGACAGCTGGCACTGCTGGGGCTACACTGATCATCAGGGCACACTGATCATCAGTGCCCTGATGATCAGTGTACATGTCCCCTCCGAGGAATGCAGATTACCGTCTCTCCTCTCCTTTCGAGCTGTCAGCGTGACAGCTCGTGAGGAGAGAAATGCTGATAACCAGCATTTCCCTATTTACATTTACATGAGATCAGCTGTGATTGGACACAGCTGATCCCATGACCGAGCCGAATCTTTGGCTATTTCCTTTGATTGGTGATTCGTTGTGTCCGAGGGACACAGCGCACTGCCCACCACGCTGCACGCTCCCAGAGCCGTGCATGCGCGGTTAGAATGGGAAGACGTCATATGACATCCTCCAGAACGAGAGAACCACCCGTCATTTCCTTATATGGCGGGCGGGAGGTGGTTAATAAAGCATTTTAACTTACCACACTATGGGAGCTTTTTTTTGATCCCTTTGTGGTTACTGATGTTTCACGGCTTGTGCTGAAAATTTCACTGTCTATTGCGCATTTGGGACTATTTGCGTACTCATTTTCTGTGTCACATTTTTGTCATTTGACATTTTTTTTCACTATTTATTAAATTTTTTCATGTATTTATTTATCTACTGATCACTTTTTCACTTGATGATTTTAGCACATCCATTATTTATATTTACATTTTCTTGGTCACATTTCACCTTTGGTGTTATTCATCTTTGGTGTTATTTGGTACACTTATTGTTGCCTCTACACCCATTGGGTTAGCATTGACTATATGGGTTGTTCACTTTGCACATTATTTATATGTTTTTTTATGTTGATTGATCATTCGCTTTATGATTAAGTAGCGCAGCACCACTTCATATTCATTCTTTTTCTCACTATTTGATTATAGTTAGGTGTTTGCAGCCACTAAGTGGGGTTTTGTTTCATCTGGCAGCGCAGGAGGTTTCTCTCTCCCCTTTTTTTTTAAACCTATCATGGTGCCATGCTTGAATTTACTGAGCTCCTGGGAGTGACCCATTCTTTCACAAAATGTTTGCAGTCTGCATGCCTAGGTGCTTGATTGTATACACCTGTGGCCATGGAGGTGATTGGAACACCTGAATCCAATGATTTGGAGGGGTGTCCCAATACTTTTGGTAATATAGTATATGAAGAAATAATATCACCTTATAAATAAAGTGAAAAAAACAGATTAAATATATTATAGAACCTGCTTTTTACAAATATATCTTTACCTCATGTGCTGGCATTGGCTCAAAAAGAATCAAAGTATTTTTTAGAACCACACAGCATAGTAAAAGCATCATTTAAGGTAACACTTATTTGTATATACTACTCTCTAAAGAAATTTATATAATACATGTTGTGAACAAAAATAATGAGAACTATACATTACGCATTTTTATATTCCCACTACACATGCTCATTGATTGCGGGTTCCTGTAAGATATACAAGGTGGCATTACCCCTACATTTGTATTTTATGTTTTGATTAAATTGTTTTAATGATATGAATTTTTAATACTGTGCTTTAACAAATGAAAAAATCTGATTTTACTATATTGTTATTGTTTTTAGTAAAAAAAAAAAAAATTATAGTACCTTAAAAATCCGGTTTTGGCATTTCTAATCTATCTGAAAACTATAAAACTGAAGTCTTCCTCTTCTATACAATATTAAGCAGAGGGCTTGGCAGTAATGTTTACCACTAACCTACTGTACTGTACTGTGCTCTTCATTATCAGCTGTAAACTAAATTGAAAGCACTTTTTTTTTTTTTACAAACTATTTTTATTAAAGGATAGACAACAATAACAGTGACCTTTTGAGAATCAAGACGCCTCAAGAAAAAGGCACATAGGTAAGATACAGTCATAATAAGAGATAGAAACACGTACATGAATAAGGCAGTCAGTAAGAAATACAGAACAACCAAGCTGTTTACAAAAGTTCAAAGCATATCAAATTATAATAGACCATCAATCAGACAATAAATGCCGATGTGTTTTCCAACCATCCCATTTTCTGTTGAATAAGTGCATCCTATCTAGCAGTGTATAATGAATACGTTCCATGAGCATAACCATGTCAACTCTCCGCAGAACAAAGGCCAAAGGAACTGTCGGTGACTTCCAATGAAGGGCAATGGCTCATAAAGATGAGACACAAATTGTGTGGATTAGCCTCATCTCATCAACAGGAACACACGAAATGGGAGCACCTAATAAGCAAATTTGCATTGACATAATCTGAGTTTCCGCTAAAGCAGAGGCCATCACCGAGATTCTATTCCATATCAAAGAGAGACTAGGAGAAACCCAGAACACATGTACAAGGGTTTCCTGGAAACATGACATGTAGTCTAGATTGGGTATAATACCAGTGAGTTAAAACTTTAAGGGCTGTCTCACAGACCGAGAGAGATCTAGAGCCTCTTCATATTTTATCCACCATGTAATCCCACCCTACGCCAATGTCGTCAAGCCGTAAACCAGAAGTGCATGTGCCAACATTTTAGATAAGGAATCTATGCACTTTTATTCAACAATGATACTGTATAGTGAGTCTTTTCTCTTGTAGTGTCCCAGGTGGACACTTTTAAATGTGAGTGTATTTTGATCAGTTTTTAATAAAGTTGGTTGTATTTGGCTATACTTCACTATATGGAGCATTTTTTTCAGATGTCTGTATAGCGTTTTGGAGATTTTAAGTGCTGACTGTCGTGAAGATTTATGTACCAGTACACCCTCCTGGGCTAAAGGGAAAGGTGTAGTTTGACCTGAGTATATAGGTCAAACCTGAAGGTGAGCGCAATAGTGTGTCAGAGGTGGATAGGCACTAAGAAGCGACACAGGAGCACCGTATATGTGTATTCAGTAGTGTGACCACACAGACCCACTTGGAGCACAGTGGATTTAAAGGGACAGTTCACCAGCATTTTTGAGATCATAATATCGGGACACTTGTTGATGGTATATTTGGAACACTATGTACAGGAGATATACCGCACAAGCACATGTGAAGATATTGGATATTGTTAAAGGGACAGTTCACTATTTTGTATGGTTCATTTGATATTTGCAATAAGTATTCATTTAGCACTGGTATATGCAGTTCTATGGATTTTCATGTATATGTGTTGATATTTATTTTGATGTAGCACATATTATTGTCACGAAGCACAATTTTCTGTTTTCACTATTCACAAATGCACGTTGGATTTATTTAGCACCGTATTTGTATTTATAGTACTGCGCTGCATTTTTTTAATTTATGGAGTAGGGAAGGTGGCATCCAAAGATGAGCGATATAAATCTGTGATGAGACCCCTACATCAAGGAGAGTCACGGCTGATACGTTTAAAAAAGTGATCGGGAACGAAGGCGTCAAGCCGCAGTGAGAATTAAAAAAGTGTCTTATCTGTCGATATCGGTAGTGTTCCTGAAGCGGGATATCAAAAAGACTACGTAACGTATCGAAGGATATATAAGTTCTGCCTCCCTGAAAATCAGATAGCCTAATAAGGGCCCGATCGTACCACCAGCGAAAGGTTTGCGGGAGAAACAGGGGAGATAAGGCACAATTTAGTTTTTATAGTGGGACCAGAGAATCAATGAGTGACCAATAATCGAATTATACGTCAACAACAAACGAGTGTTTGTCCACAATAGACCCAGTAAATAAAATGGGCGTATTGATTGAGATTCAAACCTGACCCAAGGTACCTGGGAATTAATAGTCGACCATTGAGCAAGTTGAGAAAATTGGGCTGCTAGGAAATACAGGCAAAAATTAGGGAGGCCTAAGCCCCCTGCTCCTTGTGATTTATAGAGCAAAGACGATGTAAAACGTGGACGCTTATTTTGCCAAATTAAATTGTTTATAACACGTTGGAAACGATCCAGAATATCTTAGAGATCGATATGGGCTGCGCTCGAAATTAATAAAGAAGTTTGGGTAAAACATTAATTTTTCAGCCGTGACTCTACCCAAAAATTAGACGATATACCCATGCCAAATCTTAAGCAAAGTATGAAGACGAGATACACATGGCGGGTAATTAGCAGCAAATAACCCAGAATCCCTGGGTGTGAGATAGATACTGTACCTAAGTATTGGATCTTGTCCATGGTCCAGCGAAATGGGAACAAGCTACGTAGGGATTCACCCAAGGGTTCAGGTTCATTCATAGGCATAACCACAGATTTAGTAAAATTCACGGCGAGACCTCATATGGATGCAAAATTGTTCAAGAATGTACATAAATTCGGTAGTGAAACTAATGGGTTAGTAAGAAAGAGCATAGCATCATCAGCAGACATACAGTACATAACTTAAATTGGGAGACCAAAAGTGGATATCCTGAAATATCAGGATGTGACCTAATAGTAATTGCCAAGGGCTCCAAAATAAGCACAAACAGTAGGGGCAAGAGCGAGCAACCCTGTGCCTCTGCCTAAGGTAAAAAAGTCTGAGTTTTAGCCGGGGAGTCTAATCCTTGTTTGGCGGGAATAATATAGAGCAAATACCCCTGATAGAAATTTGTCACTAAAACCAAATTTCTGCAACAGCGTAAACAGGTAGGGCCAGAGGACACTATCAAAGGCCTTATTAGTATCTAAACTCATCAACAACACTTCCTTTAAGTGTAAGTTAGCGTCTTGGATTACGTTCAATGTAAGCTGAATGTTATCAGTGATAAGCCTATCAGGGATAAATCCTGATTGGTCAGAGGAGACCAAAGAGGAGATAATTGGGGCCAATCTATCCGTCAAGATACAGCTGAATATTTTTAAGTCGTTATTCATAACCGAGATAGGTCTGTAGTTTTTGTGGTTGGAAGTGATCTTTTAAAGATTTAGGTATCAGGGACATGTTAGCCAAGAGCATCTCGTCAGGGAAGCTGCCCCCTTGTAAAACCTCATTGAACATAGAAGCTAGGGAGGGGGCCAACAGAGGGGTAAAATGCTTGTAGTAACTGGCCAAGAACCCATCAGGGCCTGGTGCTGCAGAATTTTTCAGAGAGCCAATAACTCGTGTAATTTCCTCCAGGGTGCAAGGAGCATTAAGAGATGTAATTTGAGATGGCGTAAGAGCAGGAAGATGTAAGGAGTCAAACCACGAGGTATCCAGGGGAATAGGAATCGCCTGTGGGGAGGCTAACAAGGAGGAGTAAAACACTTTGAAAAGTGCCAGGACTTCATGGGGCAAGGAGGAAACTTTACCGTTTTTATTTCGTAATTTATATA